ACTTAAGAATACATGCAGAGTATAATTTGTATAAGTACCACATGCCTAAATTAGATGAGACAGAAGTGCACTTATGTTATTGTAATTTCTTAAGAAATCAATTTTTGTAAATTTCCATTCACTCCTGACATTCTGTGAACCTTAAGCAACAACATAGTGACCTACAGGAAACCTTCGAAGGGAGGTATATTCATTGCTGCATATCCAGGGCAGGATTCACCCTCGTCAAGGTTGCAATCTGCCTTTGGGAAGCTGCTGATTCTGCCTTTCACCTCCTCTGCCCTTCAGCCGGGCTAGTCACTCTTGGAAGAGAACTGGATACAGGCTCTGAGCTTGTGTGGGCCGTTCAGGTCTGCATGGCTCCTATCTGCTCTCTGCTGAGCTCCTGGAGATATTTTCATTTCTCATGCTGGGCCTAGATTTGACCATTAGCTTTACTCTACTATGTGGTCTTCGTTCTTTTGAGTCTATCTGAGGTGAAGAGTTATAAGGGCAGGTTCTTCTCCTGCTGTGTGTGTCCTTAACACTTCTGCGGGCCTAGATTTGACCACTAGCTTTACTCTACTACATGGTCTTCATTCTTTTGAGTCTATCTGAGGTGAAGGGTAGGTGAAGTTATAAGGGTAGGTTCTTCTCCTGCTGTGTGTGTCCTTAACACTTCTGTTTGCCTTACTGTTCAGTGGGTCCGACTTACCCCTTTCCTCTGACCTTCTCAATAGGCAGCTACCAGCCCCACCCCATTCGGAACTGCTCAAGCGATTCCTTCTGTCTTCCTTTCTACCACCTGACCACCGATGCCCTGTAGCCAGCTTACACCTGTACTTACCACCCTATAGGTCATGGGCTCTAAGCTTTTGGTCACACTCTGATTTAGGTGTGTTGCGCTAATATCCAGAACCTTAACACAGAACATTTCGTTTTTTAATTTCCCTCTCAGATTTAGGCAAGTTGCTTCCCCAGCCTGCCCTTTATGTCTCTTCTAGTTACATCACAGGACAAACAGGGGAGAATAGAGTGGCTCTGTTTGTGCCGTGAGGCCTTTGGACTATCATTTGTCTCTTGGACATGATCACTACATACCTTCTGCCATCTTCGTTGGGCTGGGGTCATGGATTAGAGTCTTCAAAGGCTAGTTAGTTTTTTCCCAGTCCCTGGGATTAGGCTACACCCTTACTTCCAGCTATCTGCCATTCAGGTGCACAGTTATCAAAGGAGGGTGCCCTAGCAGAGGCGTGTGAGAATGCACACAGTGATGCTGATGCTGTCTTGATAGTACCATCTTTGATGGGGACAGTGAGGTGTCACACTGACCCATGAGCATGTATCCTGTGTATGCCCATCCGTGGGACAGAATACAGTCAAACAACAGAACACAGACTTTCTTGCCTGAAGGGTGAGGAAACTCAAGAGTGGCATTTAAGGCTCCCTAACAACCTCTTGGTTATAAATAGTTGGGTATATAGCCTGAGGTGAAAACCTGTTCATTTTTTCCCCCAAAGAGCCAAATTTTAGAAAATTATTTATTGACTATTGCATAGTCATTTTCTCAGATTGGCCTTTTAAAAACACAAGATAGAAGAACATTACCTGATTTTAAACAAGCAACATTTAGGTTTTTTCTTGCCCTCTGCTCATGCTTGGAGCCACAAGGATAGATGGTTCCTCTCAAGGTAAGGTAAGATATACCAATTCTTTAAAAAAGCCATTATTCCATAGTAGGGCATGTCTGGTCACAAGCATGGCCAGAGGAGATACCAAGCAAGCTTTTAGTGGCTCAAGCCAGCCTGGCAGCAAAGATGACATACGTGGAGATGACACCCTAGTCTTATTACCCACGGCTGTGCAAGCTCTGTGCCAGGCTGCAGTAACATTATTCAGATGATTAATTTTATACAGACATGGACTCTGAGGGCCCAAGTCAGCAAGAGATGGAAAGTGTCTGCTCTGTTGGCGAGTGAGCACCTAGTTCTTATTCAACCAGTCACTGGGCTTTTCTAAAGCTCTCTACACAGATGCTCTTGTTAATGAACCATCTCACACGAGGGAATATTAAGCTGATTTATTTACATTATCCAATTCCAATTCTGCAATATTTTATCCTGTAGCTAGCAGTTTGCCAAGGTTATTCTTTGAAAAATGAATTTAAGGGCTGTTAATATTCCATATATGAATGTGTCATTACTTATTAATCATTTCCTTATTGTCTAATTTTATATTTTGCCATGTACATAAATTTTTATTTTTCAGCTCTGATTATTCCTTTAGGCTATGTTTTCATAAGTGGGTTTACTGGGTCAATGATATAAATTATTTCAATGTTTGTTTCTTTTTTTTACATATTGTCAAGTCACTTTTTGAAATGTTGACTCTTTACAGTCTGAACATTACTGTTTGAGAATAATTAAATTTGCACATTCTCCTCACAGTTAAATATTTTGTCTTCCTTGCCAGTTTGATAAGTAAAAATAGCAACTTGTTTTAATTATATTTTTATTTTTAGGGCAATCATATATATGCTTATTTGCCATTTGCATTTATTTTTCTATAAATAAATCCATTCTTGTGCCCATTTTTCCAACTGGGGGTACTAATGTTTTTCCTAATGATTTGTAAGAGCTCTTTCTACATTACATATGACAACCCTTTTTACATTTGTTTTAAATATTTTATCCAATTTGTCCTTAACCTTTTAACTTTTAATCTTGGCTTTCTAATCTCTAGAAGGTTTGTTTATGCAGTTCAAATTTATCACAACTTCTCTTTGTAATTCTTTTATTACTTCTTATGCTTTGTCCTGTCCAAAGTAGAGATTGTGCAATACTCAGTTCATACCATCTGGTTTCTTTTGGTTTATTTCTTACATTTGAATCATTAATATACTGGGTAGTCGGCATAAGGTAGGATTCTTATTCTCCCCAAATAAGAAACATTTCAAGCATTATCTATCCATTTCTTATTGCTTTGCTGTGTATATGTTAGTGACAAGTTTGCAGAAATACTAAGGTCAATTTGGGGGCTATCTATTCTGTTCGAATAATCCATGGTTGATTATTGGCATGTGGTTTTAATTGTTATGGCTTTATATTATTTATTTTATTATTTAATAAGAAAAGTCCTCATTTATAATAATTTTTTCTGAAATTTACAAATAATCTTGAGGGACATTTTCTTAAGTTCTAAGAAAAAATCTCACAGAGATTGAATGCAATATTTTTAAATCTAGAAATTAATCTTAGAATAGTCATGTTTACAGTCTCTTATCTTCCAATTCAGACACACTATGGAATGTCATTCCATTATCCACCTCTTTTCTGGTCTCTTTTTGGTTTTCTTGTTAGCTTTATTTCAATGTCTTTATCTATTTATTTATTTTTTGCTGTCATTTCCAATGAGCTCTTTCTCCATTATACATTTTTAGAAGAAAGAATATCTTTATACCTATATATCCTTGCTGAATTTTATCGCTAGTATCAATCATTATTTTGGCTCATTCTTTGCATTTTTTAAGGTCAAAATTCATGTTATATACTAACACTCTTACAATCCTGGCTTTTCCTTTTCAATAGTTTTAAGTTTTAGAAATGTCTATTTTCTGTCTTATTGTGTCAGTTAGAAATTCCCCCAAAATATAAAAAAGTATTTTTACTAGCATGCTTATCTTAATGCTGCCTTCTAAATGGAACTGCTTTCCAGTGTTTCATAGTTAATTATGATGTTGACAACGTGTTTAAGAAATGCATTCTGCATATTGCTAGAAAGTCTCCTCTTCCTAATTTAGTAAGAATTTGGCTTCTCTTCAGGACCACTAGTTGGATTTTATTGAAGACTGTTTCAGCATTTATCATGATGACTGTATTCTTTTGACCTTCTGATATTATGTTATATTAATGTGTTGTTTGTAGAGTCTTTTAATGTAATATTGCATGCAATTATCTAGTACTGTATTAGGAGTTGTACCTCTGAATTTCTGAGATTGATCCCTAGCTTTCTTTCCTTGCTTCCTTCCTCCATTCCATCCTCCCCACCCCATTTCTCTTTCTTTCTTAAATGTTATTTGTCAGACTTGGGTTTGAGGAAACATGACTGTCATAAAATATGTAACCTCCATTTTTCTTTTCTTTTCTAAGATTACATAGTATGGGAATTACCTGTTTCATGAACTTTGATTGCAACTGCCTATAACACTAAGTTCTTGGAAACTTTTTTTGAAAGTAATTCTTTTACATACATAATGTCACATTGACTAATTTATTCTTAAAAATTTATATGTCAGACCAAAATTGTCTTTTTTTTTTAATTTCAGAATTTTATTGTATTGCACTAAAGGAACAGCAGGGCAGTTATACAATGTTCTCTTTCATACCGTTTTATAAATCTGAAATACTTGCAAACTCTTAAGACTACCTTTACCACCAGATTAGGACAGTAAGTATAATAACCAATTTCTTAATAATAATGTCTTACAAATTAAAACACATTTAAAATAGCTTTAAATGCATTCTTCATAAGTAATTCAGCATATGTTTTTATATATTCACTTATGCTTAAGAATTAAAGCAAGTATATTATTGTGATGGAAATATGGGAAATCTCTCATTCATGCAATATACAGGGATAATATTCAAGTTAAAGGGGGGAAAGATGCCACTATTATTTTTTTAATGTATCCTATATAATCGTCTACATGATAGATGAGGAAATCCATGAAGTTTCCCACAGATCAGATATATATTTTCAGTTCATCAGAAGCACCTGGTCATCTACAGCTATTTGTAATTAGATGGCATTTCATTAAAACCAAAACAAGTTCCTATAAACAAAAGCTTCCAATGGACTAAGGACAATAATTAATGCAATCATTCAAGGGATCATGGCTGTTCCTTAAGGAGTGCAAGTTCCAACCTGTCAACACCAGAGGTAATCATTTTACATTAATTTATACGTAATTCATTTAAATTCTTTATCCGAGTATAACATATTAAAACAGTCTTTCCACAAGCAAAATAAGGAGTCATTTTTAATGTAACTGGTCAGATTCCATAGGCTACTCTTGGAAACAGGGTCTTGCTGGATAGAATCCCTTCATTGGGTGGCTTTTTGCATGCATTTAACTGGACCACTTCTTCTGTGTGTTGTTCTAAGAGCTCACCAAGACATAGATCATGCTGTATAAGTAGTAAAAAAAGGCTAGAAGGTAAAAAGCTAATTTGCACCATCCTTCTTTCTGACAATATGCTAGAATATCAGCATTCATGATGGTTGTAGGGTCATAGAGTCCTGGTCCACTCATCACTGGTCTACTCATATACCTCCAAATATGATATGCCAAGAGGGGCATATTGAGGCCCAGGGTAAGCCATTCTGCTGCACAAAGAAACATGACACAGAAGAAAGCATGGATGAGGTACTCTGGAAGTACAAGAGGATTCAGGGTATTACACTGGTCTATAGGATTCTTGTAATCAGTCTTCAGCTCATCAAATGCTATAATGTGCCAGATGGCGAAGAAGATGAGTGCGGCGGTGAGCAGCAGCGCCAGCATGTAGCAGAAGGCCGCGAACGTGAACGCCATGGCCGGGGAGAAGGAGCAGGGAGCGGCGGCGGTGCCAGCGGAGCCCAAAATTGTCTTTGTAATATTGATTACACATTTATTGAATGTGAGATTTTAATATTATCAATTATAATTATTATAATCTTGTTCTATTTTCTATTTTTTTTGCCTTCTTTTTTAAAGTAACTATATATTTATTTTTTATTTTCAAAAACATTGTCTTAGCTTCATTTAGATCTTTGATGTATTTCTTTTTAAATTTTTATTTAATTTATTGGGGTGACATTGGTTATTAAAATTATATAGGTTTGAAGTGTACAATTCAATAATACATCATCATATATTGTATGTCCACTACCCCAAGTCAAGTCTCCTTCCATCACCATTTATCCCACCTTTACATTATTCCACTAGCCTCCAACCCTCTTTCCCTCTGGTAATCACAATGTTGTTTGTATCTATGAGGTTTGTTTATTTTTTGCTTAATCCCTTCACCTATTTCACCCAGGCCCCAGCACCACTCCCCTCTAACAGCTGTCACTCTGTTCTCTGTATCTGTGAGTTTCTATTTTTCTTTTGTCTACTTTGTTCATTAGATTTCACACATAAGTGAAATCATATGGTACTTGTCATTCTGTGACTGGTTTATTTCATTTAGCATAATATTCTCCAGGTCCATCCATGCTATCCCAAAAGGTAAGATTCCCTTCTTTTTTATGGCTGGGTAGTTCTATTGTGTAAATGTACCAGAGGTTTTTATCCACTCATGTACTGATGGGCACTTGGGCTGTTTCCAAGTCTTTACTATTGTAAATAGTGCCTCAATAAACTAGGGATGCATATATTATTTTGAATCAGTGTTTTGGATTTCTTTGGATATATTCCCAGAAATGGAATTACTGGGTCATAAGGCAGTTCCACTTTTAATTTTTTGAGGAATGCTTTTCACAGTGGCTGCACCAATCCTCATTCCCACCAACAGTGCCTGAGGGTTCCCTTTTCTCCACATCCTCACCAACACTTGTGTTTGTTGGTGTATTGATGACAGCCATTCTGACAGGTGTAAGGTAATATCTCATTGTGGTTTTAGTTTGCATTTCTCTGATGATTACTGATGTTGAGTATCTTTTCATACGTCTATTGGCCATCTGTATGTTCTCTCTGAAGAAGTGTCTATTTAGATCCTTTGTCCATTTTTAAATTGGATCGTTTATTTTTAAGGTGTTGAGTTATAAAAATTCTTTATAAATTTTGGATATTAACCACTTATCGTATATATCAATAGCGGTTATGTTCTCCCATTCAGTTGGTTGTCTTCTCATTTTGTTGATGGTTTCCCTTGCTGTGAAAAAACTTTTTAGTTTGATGTAGTTCCATTTATTTTTTCTTTTGTTTCCCTTGTCCAAGAAAATGTATTGGAAAAAATATTGCTACAAGAAATGTCTGAGATTTTACTCTTGATGTTTTTATCTAGAATTTTTATGTTTTTGAGTCTTACATTTAAGTCTTTATCTTGAATTTGTTCTTATATATGGAGTGAGAATGTGGTCTAGTTTCCTATTTTTCATGTGTCTGTCCAAGCATTCCATCACTATGTACCAAATACCCCTTGTATGTTCTTGCCTCTTTGGCAAATATTAATTGACCATAAAGGCATGGGTTTAGTTCTGGGTCCTCTATTCTGTTCCATTAATCTCTGTTTTTATGGCACTACCATGCTGTTTTCATTACTATAGCCTTGTAGTATAGTTTGATATCAGGTAGCATGATTCCTCCAACTTTGTTATTCTTTCTCAAGATTCTGTGGTTATTCAGGGTAACTTCGTGGTTCCATATAATTTTTGAAATATTGGCTGTATTTCTGTAAAATACACTTTTGATAGGAATGCATTGATCTATGAATTGCTTCGGGTAGTATGCACATTTACAGGTGTTAATTCTTTCTATCTATGAACACAGTATATACTTCCATTCATTTTTACCTTCTTCAATATCTTTCTTCAGTGTCTTACAATTTTCTGAGCACAGGCCTTTTACTTCCTTGGTTAAATCTATTCCTAAATATTTTGTATTTTTTGATGCACTTGTAAATGGGATTCTTTTCTTAGTTTCCCTTTCTGATAGTTCATTATTGGTGTATAAAAATGCAACTGATTTCTGGATGTTTATTATGTATCCCAATACCTTACTGAATCCATTTATCAGTTCTAATAGTTTTTGGTGGGATATTCAGGGTTCTCTATATTCAGTATCATGTCATTGGCAAATAATGACAGTTTTACTTCTTCCTTTCCAATTTGGATGCTGCTTATTTCTTCTTGTTTGATTGCTGTGGCTACAATTTCCAGAACTATGTTGAATAATAGTGGTGAAGGTGGACAATCCTCTTTTGTTCCCGATCTTAAGAAAAAAGCTTTTAGTTTTTGTTCATAGAGTATGATGTTGGCTGTGGGTTTGTCATATGTGACCTTTTTTATGTTGAGGTATGTTCCCTCTGACCTCACTTTGCTGATTGCTTTTATAATAAACTAGGGCCTCAGTGCACGAATTTGTGCACCTTGGCAGGAACTATGGGCCACAAGGTTGCGGTGGGCTCAGGGGCGGGTCTCGGCCCATCCTCTGCACCCCCGCCCAGCTCCTCCTGCTGGGGCCCCTGGCCCCCAGTCTGCCAGCAGCCCCCTCCCGCTGCTGCCACTCCCATGCACTGACGGCGCTGGCCTCACACCCGCTGACAGTGTGGAGCAATTGGGGCTGTAACCAGCAGTGGGTGCGAGCAGGGCCGGCGCTGTCAGTGGTTGTGAGCAGGGGCTGCTGCCCTGATCACCCCACAGGAGCAGGGGGAGGTGGAGAAGCCCTCAGGGGCGATCTGGGTCGGTGCCAGGCGCCAGTAGCAGGTGCAAGTGGCGCCATCACTGGCAGCGGGTGCAAGCGGCGGCTGCCAGCCCCGATCACCCCTCGGAAGCAGGGGGAGGTGGAAAAGCCCTGAGGAGTGATCGGGGCCAGCAGCTGCCGCTCACACCCACTGACCACGCCGAATGATTGGGGCTGGCACCAGGCAGCAGGTACAAATGAGGCTGGTGCCAGCAGCAGGTGCAAGCACCGGGTGGGATCATGGCTCACAGGAGCAAAGAATTTTCAGTAACCACCAAAGGGTCGCCTTGATGACAGCGACCAGTGCCCCACCTAGGTCTGGTGCCCCCGCTCACCTACTCCACCATCCCATCTCACTGATGCCCGCCATGTTCCATGAGCGCCTCCTAGTGGTCAGTGCACATTGTAGCGACCGGTTGTTCAGCCGTTTGGTCTATTTGCATATTAGCCTTTTATTATATAGGATGGGTGCTAGATTTTATCAAACGCATTTTCTGCATCTATTCATATGATCATTTGATTTTCATCCTTCATTTTGTTTATGTGGTATATCACATTTATTGATCTGTGAATATTTTTTTTAAATTAAATCTTTTATTGTTCAGATTATTACAGTTGTTCCTCTTTTTCCCCCCATAGCTCTCCTACACCCAGTTCCCACCCCACCCTCTGCCCTTACCCCTCCCACTGTCCTCATCCATAGGTGTACGATTTTTGTCCAGTCTCTTCCTG